CCTGTCATCAGAAAGAAGCCTTAATTATAAAAATTTTAATCATTACAGACTATTCCTTATGTAATTTTATCCCCACATCAGTCTTATGAGGTAGATAGTATTATCCTCATTTTAAAAATATAAAAACTGAAGCTCAAAGAGATGAAAAAACTTGTATAAAATTATGTAGCTAATTAGTGGTAGATCTGGAACTAAAATTCAGGTCTATGTTCTTAATGGCTTTTTTGTCTTCTCAGTCCTTTTTCCTCCAGAGACCTCAGGGTTAGGTATATAGGTCTCCCCCACCCCTACCCAGTTTGTTTTTTCCTTGTCTGAGTTTTTGAGTCAGTGTGCTTTGTTTGTTTTGTTTTGTGTTGTTTTGTTTTGAGGCAGAGTCTCACTTTGTCACCCCTGTAGAGTGCCATGGTGTCATAGCACCCAGCAACCTCAAACTCTTGGGCTCAAGTGATTCTCTTACCTTAGCCTCTTGAGTAGCTGGGACTACAGGCGCCTGCCACAATGCCCAACTATTTTCAGAGACGGGGTCTCTCTCTTACTCAGGCTGGTCTTGAACTCATGAGCTCAGGCGATTCACCTGCCTTGGCCTCCCAGAGTGCTAGGATTACAGGCGTGAGCCACTGCACCCAGTAAGGCAGTGTTTTAAGGCAAAGAGGGTATGGAATCTTTGAAAGTGAGACCCTTTATATATCTCCCATCTACACTTGAGTCTAGATGTTCCATTGTGGTAAAAAATCATTTATTCGGCTCGGCGCCTATAGCTCAACGGGCTAGGGCGCCAGCCACGTACACCTAAGGTGGCGGGTTCGAATCCCCAGCCCGGACCCGCCAAACAACAATGACGGCTGCAACCAAAAAATAGCCGGGCGTTGTGGCGGGCGCCTGTGGTCCCAGCTACTTGGGAGGCGGAGGCAGGAGACTCGCTTGAGCCTAGGAGTTGGAGGTTGCTGTGAGCTGTAATGCCACGGCACTCTACCCAGGGGGACAGCTTGAGGCTCTGTCTCAAAAAAAAAAAAAAAAAAAAAAAAAAATCATTTATTCATAGAGGATCTTTGGAACAATTTGAATTATGTCATTGCTTCCTGGACTGTGGAAGTAGTTATTAAGTCCTAGAAGCTTTCCAGGTAGCTCTGTATCCATTGGGATGACAGTGTTTCCATCCAATATGTTACTTTCAGGAACTTAAAACTTTTACTCCCATTTTTACAATGAGAATTTGGCTCAGTGCCTATAGCTCAAGTGGCTAGGGCACCAGCTACATGCACCAGAGCTGGCAGGTACAAATCCAGCCTGGGCATGCCAACCAATAATGACAACTACAACCAAAAAATAGCCGGGCATTGTGGCAGGCGCCTGTAGTCCCAACTACTTGGGAGGCTGAAGCAAGAGAATTGCTTAAGCCAAAGAGTTTGAGGTTGCTGTGAGGTGTGAAGCCACAGCACTCTACCCAGGGCGACAACTTGAGACTGTCTCAAATAAATTAATTAATTAATTAAAAGGAGAATTGGGAGGCGCCTGTAGCTCAGTGGGTAGGGCTCTGGTCACATACACCAAGGCTCACAGGTTCAAGTCCAGCCTGAGCCTACTAAACAACAATGGCAACTGCAACCAAAAAATAGCTGGCATTGTGGCAGGTGCCTCTAGTCCCCGCTACTTGGGAGGCTGAGGCAAGAGACTGCTTAAGCCCAAGAGTTTGAGGTTGCTGTGAGCTGTGACACAACAGCACTCTATCGAGGGTGACATAGTAAGACTCTGTCTCAAAAAAATAATAATAAAAAGGAGAATTCAATTATATTTTATAGAGAGAAGGGCTGAGACAAAAGAGGTTAGGTGAATGGTCCAAAGTCCTATAGCAAGAATAGCACTGCCAATTCAGTTATCTTTCTATTAGGCTCTTACCAGGACTTGGTTTTCTATCTACTGAGGGTCATAGGTAGAACATAAGGATTCCTTAGAGAGAGAGTATGTGACTTGTAGGTGATTTACTAACTTTGAAGCTACCTTAAATTGAAGTTGTGGATGTGATTCCAGGAAGTCCACAAGCTCAACAGCTACTGAAAGAAAACTTGTGCTTAACTATAGACTGTTAACTAATGGATTGGAATAGGATCTCACCCTGGGAGGGGTCTTTGGAGTTGCAAGAAAGTCAAATACCAAAGCTTCAAATCATAGTAAAGCCTAAGGCCATTAGGCATAGGGGCTCTGATAAATTGCTCCTTGCCTACGGGCTGCCTTTGCCATGTCCCAGGCCAATGTTGGGGCTCAATTAGGACACATTCCTAAAGTCTCAAGCTACAGAAAGCAAAGTCCCAGGCAAGAAAAGTATCCCTAGTGCTCTGAAATCCTAGATGGACTGGGACCTAGAGTTGACTTTAGAATCTCTTCTCCTGGGAGTAAAAGAGAAGTGATGAGGGCAGGAGACAGTGAAGACTGGATGAACTGACAGGCAGCTTTGCTCACTGAAGAAAGGAAGTAAGCCCACAAGAAAGAGCCAGGGAATGAGGAGGTGGCAATAGTCAGTGTCTGGACAAGAGGAGAGCTAAGATCATGTACTGTCTGAGTCCAGACAAGCCTTGAGTTTTCTCTTCAAGGAGCTAGTAGCTTACAGGCCTTCTCTACTGTCACCTCCCTGCAACAAACCTATAGTAGGCTATACAGGCAAAAGTCAGCTTTACTAGGAAAAGAAAAAAATCCCTGTTCTATATAAGACCTTAGATCTTCCACTCTGCCTTGGCAAGAAGAGAAAGCCCAGGTGATCAAGTAAGGCAGGCTTACTTGAGGCCTGAGGCTCTCAGAATGTAGTCAAAAGGTATGACCATCTAGCTTGGTGCCTGTAGCTCAGTGGTTAGGGCACTGGCCACATACACCAGGGCTGGTGTGTTTGAACCTGGCCGCAGGCTGCTAAACAACAAAGACAACTGCAACAACAACAAAAAATAGCTGGGCATTATGGAAGGCACCTGTAGTCCTAGCTACTTGGCAGGCTGAGGCAAGAGAATTGCTTAAGCCCCAGAGTTTGAAGTTGCTGTGAGCTATGATGCCATAGCACTCTACCAAGGGTGACATAGTAAGACTCTGTCAAAAAAAAAAAAAAAAAAAAAGTATGGCCATCTATTCAAATGCTACACCTTTTCCTTAGAATTGCCTTTCACATGGACTTGACACTCAGGTAAGGCTAAGCCCAGGTTGCTGGTTCATAGGCATTGTTAAGGCTACTCTGATTTCAAGGCTTAGGAGAACATATATTATCCCATTTTTCCTGGTTGTATCTTGGAACAGTTATGCCTGTTTCTGGGCCAAGACCTTGGCTGTAGATTCTCCAGCCACAAGTGCAGCCCACATACATGAGAGAGCCAGAATACTTTGTGGGTGACTGCCATTGCTGGGTACCAGGCTTCCTGCTAACAGAGCTGACAAATAGAATGAAAAGCAGGAATGGAACTAGCCTATACTAGGATCTATGGGACATAGCCAGGCACAATGATCTTGTGGAGCTGAATGTCCATAGGAAAGAAAGCTGGGCCTAACCTTTGCCCTAACTGTTCTTTCCCTCCAAATCCAAACTCAGCAGCTCTCCCTTAACAACATAAGCCTTCCCATGCTCTTTAGCTCTTCACTCTCCTCAGGAATTCTTGGCAGGCAGAATATTTTCTGCCAAATGAAGTTTTCCCTGGCTCAAATTTGTACTGGTGCAAGGAACAATCAAGAGGCACTGGCTCAGTGCCTGTGGCTCAAACGGCTAAAGGGCCGGCCACATACACCTGAGCTGGTGGGTTCGAATCTAGCCTGGGGCCTGCCAAACAACAATGAGAGCTGCAACCAAAAAATAGCCGGTCATTGTGGCAGGTGCCTGTAGTCCCAGCTACTTGGGAGGCAGAGGCAGGAGAATCACTTAAGCCCAGGAGCTGGAGGTTGCTGTAAATTGTGATGCCCTGGTACTCAACCAGCTTGAGGCTCTGTCTCAAAAAAAAAAAAAAAAAAAAGAGGCACTTAGGATATAGGAGTCTATCCTCAATCCCTTTGACCTTTCCTGAGTCTGGCTTATTTACTTTCCCTGTCACTCCGTCTTACTACCTTCTGTTAGAACTGAGGGTCCCTTGTCGCTTACTTATTTCCCCTTAAGCTCCCTCCATAATGTTATAGGCTTCTTCCAAAGCAGATTAGCTTCAGTAATATTACCTGAGAGTGCAGTCATTCTCTCTCTTGTTCTCTCCTTTCTTCCTAGCTCACTTCTTCTGACCTGATGTAGTACAGTGTCCCCTTGACTGTTCTTCTCTTGATTCATGGTCTTATAAGATATAGTCACATCAGACATGGCTATAATAGCCCCTTCTATATCTAAGATTTCTATAAGATTCTATATCTAAGATTCCTAGAATCAGCGGAAGTCTGAATCCTCCTCCCATAGAAAGTCAGAGAGGTAATGTGGGAAAGAGACCCTTTCATCAGAACAAAAGCTCTGGCTTAGTCTTGAAAGTGTTTCCTGCACCCCAAGTCTAGAATGCCCAAAAGTTCAATCCAGGCACGGGATAGGAAGACTGAGCTGGCACTGAGAGATCAAAACAAGTGGCAGATGGTGCTGAGGAACATCCCAAGACTGAAGAAATATGGTTCCCAGAAAGGGAGAAGGAAGGAGACATTGGCAAAGTCTTAACTCAGCAACTATGACAGCCTGGCCAGAGAAAGCTTTACGATAGGGCTGAAAGTACACTTATGGGATCAGGGATACTGGTGAGCTCAGACACTGTTCCATCACCTCTTCTCTCTTTGACCATATCTAGAATAAATAGCCTTGGTGGCTAAGCTGGACTGGTAAGGAAAGGCAGGGAATGAAAAAGATTAGGAAGTGGTCCCAGAAACCTGAGGAATTGCTCCCATAAGGGATAGTGAGCAAGCTTCTTTGGTGCTGTCTTACTGAACCCAACCCAAGAGGTCAGCAGTATGGGGCTAAGTGACCTGTGATTTGTATGGCTTAATTCCTGCTTGGCCTTTGATATCCCCAGGTGCTGGAGGTGGTGAGAGCCAACTATGACACGCTCACACTGAAGCTGCAGGATGGCCTAGACCAATATGAGCGCTACTCAGAGCAACACAAGGAAGCGGCCTTCTTCAAAGAGCTGGTGAGTACCTCGCCCCTGTCTCTGCTTATGTCTCTTAAGGGTCCATTCCTGACCATTGGCTTCTACTGTATAGAACTTCAAGGGAACAACTACAGTTTGCCAAAGACTGATAAAATCATGTATGCAACTTCTCTCCTAAAGCAATCCAGACCAGACAGGACAAGAGGTAGCATTGCCCACCTCTATTCTTCAGTCACAGAGACAGCCCTGGCATAGCTCCATCTGGGCCTGCGGCTTGACATGTGTACCCAGTGGCAGCTCTGGCTTATTGTTCCTTATCCTATCCTCATGGCAACTATTGAATAATGAGAGTAATTGACTCTTTTCCTCCTTATAGAATTACTTCTTCCCAAATTCCTACTACTGGTCTGAGTGATCTTCCGATCTGATTCTCCAGTCTTCATTTCCTACCCTAACTCCTACTTTCCAATCACACTCTCCCTCCTACAGCCCTTACCCCCAGCCACCTTGAATTAGTGAGCACTTGCTCTGCCTCCTACTTCCCCTCCTAGTCAGCATCTCCTAGTCAGTATTTTTACTGGTCTTACTACTAGTCAGCATCTCCTAGTCAGTATTTTTACAAGGTCTTACTCTTGCTCAGGATGGTTTTGAACCCATGAGTTCAAGCAATCCACTTGCCTTGGCCTTCCAGAGTACTAGAATTATAGGCATGAGCCACCGGCACCCAGTCAGTCTGTGAATACAGAACATGTGAAGCAAGCAGTGGGGAAGACAAGGATATATATACCCCAAACTTTACTCTCAAATGGGCAGGAATCCTTGGTAAGGAAAAGTGAAGCCTATGTCCTGCTCCCAAACTTGAGTCTCAGCTAGTTGCATCACCTTGTCCTAATCATTGCCTTCCTTGGATCATACCCCTGCCATCTATGCCAGATAAAAGCTACATCTCTAAATGTTTCTTTCAACCCAAAAAAGGAAATAAATCCAAAGGGAAAGTGAGGAGACTAGAACATCCTGGGTAGAATGCCATGGCGTCATAGCTCATAGCAACCACAAACTAAAGCAGTCTTCCTGCCTCAGTCTCCTGAGTAACTGGGGCTACAGGTGGCTGCCACAACACCCAGGTATTTTTTTTTTCTATTTTTAGTAGAGAAGGGGTCTCATTCTTACTCAGGCTGGTTTCAAACTCCTGAGCTCAATCCAGCAGCCTCAAGAGTCCCACAGGGCTAGGATTAAGGGTGTGAGCTACCATGCCTGACCCTTGAAGCAATATCTAAAGGGATGGGGCCCTGAAGAATGAATCCTCTCGCCCCAGTTTCTACTCCTCCATCAGACCACTGACCAGACTAGTCCCCCTTGCCAAAGCAAGGATGAAGGCCAGTCTCAGCCCTCCTTTCCTGTCTGTACCTGCTTCTACCCCCCAGGAGCCCAGATGCTCTTCTCACTTCTAGTTTCTGCCTCTTACCCCCCTCCCCACCCTTTTCTTCCCTGCTGTTAAGAACTGTTTGCTCATTTACCTTTGGGAATAATAGCTGTTAAGGGTTCATTTCCTAAGAAATTTTATAGTGCTTCTAGGTCCTGTGCCTCAGGCACTGCCCTCTACTGTTTATAACCAAATCTCTCCTCTGTTTTTTCTCTACTGTGCCTGCCCCTCCCTGTTCTACCCTTTCCCAGGTTCGATCCATTAGCACCAACGTCCGGAGAAACCTGGCCTTCCACACACTCAGCCAGGAAGTCCTGCTCAAGGAGTTCTCCACTATCTCCTGAGGCCACGCCCACCTGAGTAGCCACTGACTGCCCTTAACCATGAGGCTCCTAGGGGATCAAGGGGAGAGGGAGCTGCCCCAAGGTTGGAGAGAAACACAGATACTGAGTTCTCTTCTCTCTTCGTGAAGGCCATGCTTCAGTGGAGCTTGGGTAGCCAGGGCAAGCCAGGGATGATTATATTTGGGGAAGAATGGGTGGGCACAGGGTGAGGCCTCCAGGGATGTGGGGACTTCCAGAGTGGACTCCCTGGATAGCCTTTCACATTTCCAATTGAGATTATAAATTGTAGCTACTGACTAATGTTTAGGAACTGACGGGGCAAGCTCCAGGGTGACACCAATACCTTGAAGGTCAGTGGCTGTCCTTGGCTTCTGAAAATGGATGAACTCTCAGCCCCATCCTGCTTCTTTTGGGCCTGGAGCTGTACTAGGCTTGAAATCTGTGCCGCCTGCCCCACTGGTACTCTGTCCAGTCATTAGGACCCTTAGCTTAGGCTTAGGGCAGAGTAGGAATGGGGTACCTTTTTTCTATTTTCCAAATTCAGAGTTGACTCCTCTGGGAAACTGGAGATTAGAATTTGCCCAGTGCTCTGCTGTCCAGCCACCACTTTCTGGATTTTAGTTCTGGTACTACGAGTATCTATTAGCTTTTGCCTTCTTTCAACCCATTGATTCATTAGCACAATAGGATCATTACCTTAGCTTTTCACTTTTATTCTGGTTTAAATTGTCTTTAGGGTGTGTGTGAAATAAACATTGACAGGTTTCTGCAGCTGTTAAGGTACCTGTTTTGCTGGTTCCCTTTCCAGCAGCTCCCCTGTGTCCCTGCCACCCACTCCTAGGAGCCTTTCCTGCCTCTGCTGAGCTCCCCTCCACGTTCTACCCCCTCACCCTGCTGCTGTTTACATCCAGCCACCCTGATAATTTCCTCTGGGGAAGATTCTATTCCTGCTGTGGTCTGGTGCTTGGGAGGGAGAGAACCTGCTGGGGACAGGGTGCCCTCCTTCTGAAAGAGCCCAGGTGAGCATCATGCCATTCTGTCCATTCACATTCTGGATGGGAGCAGAGGTAAATCTCCTGCCCTCTGGGAAGTTAGCCTGTGGTTCCTCCTTTGGAAAGCCTCTATTAGACCACCTAGGCTTTCCTTACCCTGTGGCTTCCCCTGAAATAGCTGCTACTTTGAAATCCTCCCTTTCTCTAAAGTACTTTCTAAAGCCCTCAGGATGGTGGAAAGTAAGCAGCACTGGAAGAATCTGGGAGTACAGGAAGCCAGCAGTGAAAGCAGGTTTGCAATCTTCCTGGCCACCATCCATTTAACCTCCTATCTCTTTTAGATACCTTCCTTCCCTGGGAATCAGAGTTTTGACTCCAACATTGAGCAGATATGCACTAGTTCCAGAGAATCCACTCACAGGCTGCCATGTATGGCTGTAGTTTCTAAGAGATCACAGGCTGGGTCATTTCTTATCCCTAGGTGGATAACACAGCCTGGGGCATTTAGTGTTTTCCATTGTGATAAACCCCAGGGCACCTGGATTTGGAGCTGGTGACAAGTCAAAGTTATTAAAAATTAATGTGTGTGGGACAGTCTTTAGTGTCTTTTTTATCATTATTAATTTCTGTTGCCCAGACTCATTTATCAAAGACAAAGATAAGGTAATCTCCTAATTGCTGGTCCCATCTAGTTTGGGATCCCCATCTGTCCTTTTAGACTCTTCTTCTCTGAGTCTCCTGGCCTAGTAGAAGCCAGCCGAGTTCAGAGAATTGTAGCCTCCCTTTCCCTCTAGGTGGAAGGATGGAAAAGAGAGTTCTTTTATCTCCAAACTCAGTGGTGTTCAGGAGGCCAACCTGCCCATTTGGCTACCTCTGGATTCCTGCCAGCCTTTCCTATAAAGTGAACAGTGGCAAGTCCAGGGGATGAGCACTAAGAAGAAGAGTACTTGCCCTCCATTGTAAAGATATATCTTTTGGCCCATTTCTTTCTTTTCTTTCTTTCTTTCTTTTTTTTTTTTTTGAGACTTTGTTTTTTTTCACTTTGTTTTTTGTTTGTTTTGTTGTTGCAGTTTGGCCAGGGGTGGGCACCACCATGAACCCACCACCCTCGGCATATGGGGCCGGTGCCCTACTCCTTGAGCCACAGGCACTGCCCAGAGTTTCACTTTGTTGCCCTGGGTAGAGTCCTATGGCGTCATAGCTCATAGCAACCTCAAACTCCTGGGCTCGGCTCAGCGCCTGTGGCTCAAGTGGCTAAGGGGCCAGCCACATACACCTAAGGTGGCAGGTTCAAATCCAGCCCGGGCCCGCCAAACAACAATGATGCTGCAACCGAAAAAAAATAGCCAGGCGTTGTGGCGGGCACCTGTGGTCCTAGCAACTTGGGAGG